CTCACTCTTGTGGCCTCTCCCGTTGCGGAGCAACAGGCTCCGGACGCGCAGGCTCAGTGGCCATGGCTCACGGGCACAGCCGCTCCGCGCCACGTGGGATCTTCCCGGACCGGGGCACGAACCCGTGTCCCCTGCATCGGCAGGTGGACTCTCAACCACTGTGCCACCAGGGAAGCCCGTCATTGGTAATTTGATAGGGATTGCATTGACTCGTGCTGTTTTAAGTCACTATGTTTGTGGTGATTTGTTAGAGCGGCAATAGGAAACTGATACAAGTCATAATTTCACTGAAACATGTTTTTCTTCAGTGTACCCTATCTTGGTAAATGGCATAAACATCAGCTGTTTGTTCAAGGCAGAAACATGTGCCATCTTCTCCTCACACTCCCAGTCCAGTCAACATCAAGTTCTCCAGATTCTACTTAGCAAATACTTATTCAAAGTTACCCACTGTACTGCTTCTCTAATACAGACCATCACCATCATTATCATCTTCCTTTGGGAGGGAACAAGGAGACAGTACATACTCACCATTCTCCATTTAGCAGCCACAATAAACCTTCTAAGTTGAATATTTCTGGCAATTATTCCTGTCTCCTGAAACTCTTCAATGGCTTGCTCTTTCACTCAGAATAAAGCCCAAACTGCTTGACATGTCTTAGAAGGTCCTCCGAGGTTTGCCTCTCTTCAGCCTTATTTCCTGACACACCCTGATGCTAAACTTCTGACCCTGGAAGCATCTGCAGGTCCCCTTGCCCCATTATCCCCTCACAGAAGAGGCTCCAGTGTTCTGCACCCTCTGCCATTCACCATCAGGGCCCAAATTATTCCCTTCAGATTGTCCCTGATCCCCTAAATTGTTAGCACCTAGATATTAGGATCTTGAACTTTTGCTTCTAGACACTCATCACAATATTTAGTGGTCTGTCCCAGGAGTGCAGAGTTTTTGTTTGACTTGTCCACTACTCTATCTCCACTTCTAGCACCCATCACGTAGTAGGTGCTCAGTAAATATATGTCAAATGGCAATTGCTCACTAAACAGCTGTAAATCACTATGCTTAAAATCTCCACAATGGCTCCTATGTCATTTTTAATAACATTTTCCTGTGAAGTCCTTACCAATGGAGTATTCAAATACTATTTAAAACACAGTAATTTAGTGCCTATCACCAGTTTTCACATTCTGGACTTTCCCCCTCCTTTGGAAATGGACAGGAAGAGGTAGAGAGAGAATGGCTTTATTCTAATTTTTCTTACATTTATAATGTCATACCACGTATTTATCAAGCACCTTCTATGTGCCAATCACTAAGCATTGAGAATACAGTAAGCGAATAAAACATAGTCTCTGTTTTTACAAAGTTTGCATTCTAGTGTGTGTGAATAAGGCGAGGAGAAGTCAGAATGTAAACAAACTGAAAATTATATACAACATAGTGCCAAAGTCAGAAAGGGGAAGGGGGTGGGGGGATAGTGTATGTGAGAGAGAAGTGTTAATTTTATATTTCCGGTGATCGGGAAAGCTTCCCGAATAAACCGACTTTTCAGCAGGGACCAACAACAAATGGGGAGTTGGTGTCAGGTCACAGTGAAGCATGAAGATCAAAAACTCAAATCACAGGTTATCAGTTGCAAGCTGTATGCGACTAAACATGTCAAACTAGCCCCTCTGGGCCTGCCTTCTAGTTGTGAAAGAACAATACTAATACAAACTTCGTGCGCTTGTTATAAAAAAAAAAAAAAAAGGATCAACAAGGAAATTAAGACGAAGTAAGCGTTCTATCTAGAACTCTAACCATTGGCTGAGACTGGGAAACCAAGCGGTGGGAAAGCCCACCGGCCTTCCACCACGCGCACCGCCCCCTCTGGCTAGAGTACAGCTGGTGATTGGCTACCCAACCCGTCCGTCCCGCCCCGCCCGGGCCTCCAGTCCAATCCCGGCAGACCTTGCGCTGACACAGGTTCCCAGGGCCCCCCGCCGAGGGCGCGGTCCCCGTGACGTTTGATGACGTGTTACGTCACGGCGGCGGAAGTCACGGCAGCTGTGTTGAAATCAGATCGTCCGGTCTTAGAAGCTTCTGCTCACGCCGAGGCCAGCGACTGCCCAGCGTCGGGCGAACCCCCTGACGCCTACTCTGCAGCCCTGCTGACCTGACGCCGCTGCCACGCCATGTCCACCCCTCCGTTGGCTGCGTCAGGGATGGCGCCCGGGCCCTTCGCAGGGCCCCAGGCCCAGCAGGCGGCCCGGGAGGTCAACACCGCATCGCTCTGCCGGATCGGGCAGGAGACGGTCCAGGACATCGTGTACCGCACCATGGAGATCTTCCAGCTCCTGAGAAACATGCAGGTGGGAAGGAAGGAGGGCTCCGGTCACGGCCGTGCGTGGAGAAAGCGGGATGATTCTGCGAGGGAGGGGGCTTCTGGTTTAATTGTTACTTGGGGCCCCTGGGCGTTGACGTGGCCGCCCTGGCCAAACCTCGAGTATGTGGTCGCCCCCATTTACATTCAGAAGCGTTCCCCAATAATGTGTCTGTCCCCAAGATGTGGAGGTGATGTTTTCCAGGCCGGATTTCTGGAAGATTGAAGCCACATTTTCTAGATTCGACCGGGTTCTCAGGTTTTTAGGCGAACTCTTGTATTTTTCAAGGTAGAGGTAAGTCTCATTCCGCCATGCTCTTGGGATTATTTTAATCTCATGTTTTCCCACAGAACACTTTTTGAGGGTCCAAGGTGTTGAATTCAGATTCTGCTAAGCATTTTGTTAAAAACAGCTTTATTTTGGTATAACTGACGTACAGTACAATGCATCTAAAGTTTTGACACATGTGGACTTGTGAAACCATCCATCACCCCACAAAGTTTCCTCGTGCCTCTTTTAAATCTTTACTTCTGGCCTTCCATCCACAGCCAATCTCTGCTTTGCTTTTTGGCACCGTAAATTAGTTTGCATTTTATAGAGTTTCATATAACATACACTATGATTTTTGGTGCGGGCGGGCGGTGTGGCTCCTTTCACTCAGCATATATCAGTAGTTCCTTCCTCTTCATTGCTGAAGAGTGTTCTACCGTATGAATGTAACACAATTAGCGTATCTGTTCATCTGTTGATGGACATTTGGGTTGTATCCACTTTGGAGCTCTTATAAATAATACTGCTATGAGTGTTCAGCTACAAATGTTTGTGTGAACATGTGTTTCATTTCTCTTAAGTAGATAGATGCCTGGGAGTGGAATTGCTGGGTTATAAGGGAAATGTCTGTTTAACATTTTAAGAAACTCTTCCAAAGTGGCCAGACCATTTCACATTTTCATCAGCAGTGCCTGAGCCTTCTAGTTACTCCTCATTCCTGTCAGCACTTGTTATTGTACATCTTTTCTTTTTTTTTCTGTATAGTATGTCTTTGTTTTGTCTCCCAGTCTGTGGCTTTTCATTCTCTTCATATTGCCTTTTGAAGAACAGATATTTTAAATTTTGATGGAATCCAATTTATTGATTTGTTCTTTTACAGATTTTGCTTTTGGTTCCATATCTAAGAAATCTTTGTCTAACCCAAGGTGGCAAAGATTTCCTGTGTTTTCTTCTGGAAGTTTTATAGTTCTAGATTTTACATTGAGGTCTATGATCCGCATGGAGTTAATTTTTTTATATAATGATAGATATGCATCTGAGTGGGGTTTTTTTGTTTTTTTTTTTTGCATTTGGATATCCAATTATTTCAGCACCATTTTGCTAATCTTTTTTTTTTTTTTTTTTTT